TGAGCATAGTAGTCATTTTTTGCCTTTAAACATTCTCTTTCTACCTGTTGGACACTAACAAGATAGGCCTGATGATCCTTGGTAGATTTCGTGTACATATAACGACGAAAACATTTTTGTTTTAAGCTTGAGTTTTTCGTGATCAGCAGCTCAAGCTCTATCCAATGATGTAAAGAAAACACGAAAAAAGTTTTTTTACTGAAAATTCCCATTGCCGGTATCTTACATATACGTGCCACTTGTATGTACACGTGAGCTATTTCTTTTATGAATTTCTGTAATTTTTGTCAATTTTATCAATATTATTCCTTAAAACAAGATATATGTTGATATGAGTGTAGCGACAAGGTCATTTCGTAATCCTAAAGAAGATCAAGTTGAGCATAGAAACGTGGAGGGACTTGTAGAGCAACGTCGACAAAAAGTTGCAAGATCAAGATCTGATGACGAAGATATGGATACTCCTATGAATGATGATCAATCTACTTCTCCTAAAACACCCCAAACTGCACGTTATTGTAGTCCTCATCAAGAAAAAATTTATATAAATAGAAATCTTGAAAGACAGTTCAATGAACAAGAATATATTAATATATAGAACATGTGTATTGTATGGGTCTTAGGATTGTGTACGGCCTTTGGGAGTGGATGATTTTGTGACTTTGAGCCTCACTAAGGAGAGAGCACTCCTTGACTATTTGTATGACTCTTGGATGAGATTTAAGGACCATCTTGATATCTCTTCTGAAGCATCTGCATATAGAGAAACTTGGGAGGCTTATCTTATTGCCACATCACCAGATTTAAGTCATCACCGGACACAAGTTTTAACCAATTTCATAAATATATACAATTTTTTCTTTTTACTTTCTCACATATTCCAGCTTTTTGTTTTCTAGTGAATAACAGCCGTATAGACACTTTATTTATGCTTTCTTTTCCTATGGTGTTCGATTTTAGTTTATAATTTGCGTTTCATTTATAGATGAAAAGGTCCAATAAACCGAAACATATCAATCTTATCTATAGAAAGAAAACACCTTCCAAATCGATCAATCCCAAAAAGTAAATCGAATAATTAATGATCCAAATTAAGTCAAAAGTATTAATTCTTAAACTAGAAAATTAATCATGATTAGATTTATATTATTATTTCACAACAATTTTTGAGAAGCCCTTGCGTTTTTATATTTTTTAGCAGAAAGGAAAACTCAAGAATCTGTTTCAAAGTGACTTGAAGCACATTAAATGTCATTATTTTTATTTTATAAAAAGACTTTTTTATATTCACTTTATACACATTTTCTCTTGTTTTTATAAAACTGTATTGGTATAGACTGAACTTAAAGTTCAGTCAGTTAAAAATGATGGTCTTTTATCATTTATTAATTTTATTCGTTACTTTCTCTTGTGCTCTTTCGGTTGTTAGTATTGGTCATATTAATCAAGCACGATTCACTAGTCTTGATCGTATTAATAATGGAACATTGTGGATTCAGAACCAAACCAA